AATATAGATTATCTATATTTATTCATTATAAATCTCAATTCAAAAAAAGATAACAAGCATTTCTGACGTGAAAGACTTTCTTTAAAGTATGTTTTTGTAGTAGAGTTCTAAATAAGGTGTGTTTATTCAATATATTGCTGTACTTATTTTATTTCAAATATATTAATTCATGAGGCTTAAAATCAAATGTGCTTTCTCTGTAGATTAATACTCTCCCTTTCAACGTTGTCGAATAGAAGTAAATTGCTTGGTTGAATACAAACTAAGCCCATGTGAGTGGCTCTTTTTCTTGTTTTTCAGAAATAGGAGACACTGAGAGTTGAAAACGCATTCATCATCAGGAGAATTTATTTTAAAAGCATCCAAGCTCCTGTACAGTCAGTAGATAAATTACCCACTATTCAACAGAAGGAAAGCACAATTAGTTTCACATTATACTAAACAAATCAGCTCTTTAAGTGACAGTCATGTTTGAGAAAAAGGCAGCAAGAATGTCATAGTTGTTCCCTTTCTCCCATGTCTTTAGAAGCAAACAACTAGTCTCTTCCCAGACTACAAGTTCTATGGAAAGCAGGGTGAATATATTTTGCTGTTGGTTTAGATAAGGAGAATTATATTCATGCCTGTATCCATATGGTTAATAACAGCCACTTCATGTAATCTGCCATCACTTAACCTGAAGAAGCAAGATTAGTAAACGTTACATAGACAGCTACTGCAGCATTTTAAGCAACTCCCATCTGCAATAATGAAGTGATCAATGGAGGTCTTGGAGGAAGGAGTGCAGTGCAAGCATACAGCCCCCTGCGCACATGAATCGTTCATCAAAACCCCCAGACCACATGGGCTTATGCTCACAAGTCAGTCATAGCTCAGTTGGTGAAGGATCCGCCTGCAATGCAGGGAACCCCAGTTGGATTCCTGGGTCGGGAAGACCCCCCTGGAGAAGGGACAGGCTACCCACTCCAGTATTCTTGGGCTTCCGTGGTGGCTCAGCTGGTAAAGAATCCGCCTGCAGTGTGGGAGACCTGGGTTTGATCCCTGGGTTGGGAAGATCCCCTGGAGAAGGGAAAGACTACCCACTCCAGTATTCTGGCCTGGAGAGTTCCATGGACTGTATAGTCCATGCGGTCAGGTCACAAAGAGTCGGACATGACTGAGCGGCTTTCACTTTTCCCTTTTATCCTTCTATAGGCTAAGTTTAATTTTATTTATTAAGATATTCATTCCACATTTACAAGGGATAATTTTTGGTACATGTATATAAGAAATGTACAAAATTTCTTTACACCACACAAAAAAGTAGCACGTTGAGTTTGACCCTTAAGTTCAAGATTTCATTGTCTCTTCTCATGTAAATGCACACAGCCTGAAACTACATAAAGAACACATAGAATAATGTCTTAATTTTTAAAAATTACATATATATTTTATCAGTAAGGATATAATATATATTGTGTGAGAATAAGGTAAGAAGAAGAAAAAGAAAGCAGGACTAAGAGAAAGAAGTGGAAAGAGATAGAATGTCAAAATGTTAAAGTGTACTTAAGCCAAACCCGTGAAGTTTCTTTCCTGGTGATTTTTTCTATGCTTTGACTGGAGAAAAGATTATTAATGGTATATATTTTGCTATTTTTAGTTGTTTAATTTATGCAAGTTTTTAACTCAAAATTGTTAGGCATTAATTATTAGGATTATATTTATAAGTAGAACAAGTTTTACAAAGTACTTCTAAGAATTCTTTTAAAAATGATTGCCCCTGATTAATTAAATGTTGCAAATGACATTTGTTTGTCATGTTTTTAATTACTTCATTTGTCTGGTTTAACAAATAAAATCTTTCTGAAAATGAAATAATTCTTAAAATCTAATAAGTTAAATGTATTAGTATGATGTCCTAAAGTTTTGTTAGACTTTCCAGTATCATACTTGAACATGATATGTGGATATAAGACAGATCACAAAACTGAAATATTATGTCTCAATTTTTAACTGCATATTCTAAGACAGAATCACAAGGCTGTCACATTAATAGACTAAATTGTTTGAAATAACACATGTTTACAGTACCAAATGTTCACAGATTTCGTAACACAGAAATATTAGTACTATGCTTTCTGTTCCTTTAAACATATCCGAGTCAACTCTGAGTCGTCTTAGAATTAAAAGGCATCTACTCACTAAGGAAGACAACATCCAGTAACTGAAGCCATCGAGACGCGTCTGTTCTTGAGTGTGAGGCGCACGCCCATGAAAGAAGAGAAAATACCATCTCGGCTCCGAGTCCCTTTCGGCCTGGGATCCTGACCGGACACGTGACGTACAGCTGCAGACGTCCAGGGCCGTTCTCACCACCTCAACCACTGTCAGTCTGTCTAATAGTCTCTGTATCACAGGCCTCAACATTTAGTTAAAGGTCAGGTCACCGGGTCCTCCGGCCACTCGTAGGTGTCAGGAACTACGGGGAAAAGCAGCCAGTGGACGTGACCTGCCAGCCCTCACTCAGCCTCACGAGATGGGGCTTTGGTCTGCAGCATTTTCTCACTGAGAAGTAAAGAGCCCACAAAGCTTTCGTCAGCCTCACAGCTTTGTACGGACATATTGGACTGGCCAAAAATTTCCTTTGGTTTTTAAGTAAAAATAAGAGACACATTTTTCCTTTTCGCCAAGAACTTTGTTCTATTACCTTCTGCCATTGTTCAACCAACTTCATAATTCCAAAATCTCCCCCAAACTTATCTTTTTGAGCAAAGAATCATCTTCCAGAGAAATGAAATTGTTTTTCCTTTAAGAGGATTTTGCAAAGACCAAAATAAACGGACATCCAAAGATGCAATGTCTGCTTGATACAGCAAATGAATCAGAACTTCCCAGCCAAGCTGTAAGGGTTTTCCCCTGGTCATCAAAGAAACATGCAGTCTTGCCATATCCTGATGGAGGATTATGCGTTTTCTGTTGACTAATTCCAGACGCTTTTCAAGGAGTGATGCTCTCAGTTCGTCTCATTGGGAGTGTTGGAATTAATTGTTTGGTTTTCTGGAAGGAGCTCAGAATAGAGGACTCCTTCCAATTCCGCCATATTCACAGCGTTACCGTCTTTGGATGAAAACCTGCCTTTGGTGTGGTTGGCGGTGGTTCCCTTGGTTCGTCCGTGACCTCTTCCATTCCACATTATTGCACTGTATGCGCTTTTCATCACCTGTCAGAATTTGTTTTTAAAATGGTGCATTTTATGTTTCAACAGAGAATCATGTACAGAAATTCTGTCAAGAAGGATTTTTTTCACTTACGTGGAAATCAAACATCAAAGTGATTAACATACAAAGTTGATGCAAATGACTTTCAGCAATACTTTGAGTATGCTGGCTATCTCCCGTGTGGTGTGACTTTGACTGTTCTCAATGAATGTCTCAATTTGATCGCTATCAGCTTCAACTGGTGTCCTTGGACCTTGGAGCATCATCCAGCAAGAAATCGCTAGCACAAGACATCGCAAACCACTTTTCGACATGGTTTGATCAGTCGTAGACCCTTCTCTATACACTGCACAAGTTATTTCTTGCATTTCGGTTGCATTTTTAACATTCTTGAAATAAAAAGGATAATATGCCAGAAATGCTGCTTGATTTTTCCATCTTCAATATTAAAATGGCTACACAAAAATTCACCAGTTTTGATAAGGTTCTTTTTGTTTTTTTTTAATGCACACTGATATGACATCTGTCACAATACAGTCTAACAAAATTGTTTCCAATGAAGTTAAAGACAGCTAGAGCCAGCTTACAGGGGGGAAAAAAAGGAATGAACTTTTTGGCCAACCCAATACTTTCCTGGTTTTAGCTTAAATAAGTATTCCTTTGTCCTGCATAAAGGTGTAAAGCAGTGGTCCTTGGACACGCCTCTGTCTTCTAGTGTTTCAGACTCCATGAGAGCGAGCTCTGGCTCCTCAGGCAGCGGCAGGGATACTCGTAGATGACTTACCCCATTCACTCTCAGGGAGGCTCGCCAACCGTAGGGACTGGCACACACAGTGAGCTGTAAAGTGTCATTCCCTCCAGTGCCCGACCATACCAGGTTTGGCTTGACAGCTTTGGTGCCACAATACCAAGACAAAGATGTCTGGAGTTCTCCCCTGGGATTGATAACCAGGAGCGCTGCAAGGTATATTGATAGCTGATGTATGATCTTCTCAACAGCATCTCCCATCCAAACTGATTTGCTTGTCTTTGACTGTAAGACATAGGTTTCCTAATGCCAAAAAAATCTGTGAAGTTGACAGATAGTAGGTTTAATTATATATTTTACCTAAACACAAAGACCTCGAACTTGATGGAATTCTAGAATAAATAATTGCCCTTCTCCACTAGTCTAAATAATCTTGCATCATTTTATCTTCATATTCATATTCAATTTCTCAATTCAGTTCTTCAACCAATTGAATTTTCACTTTTAAATGGTGTTTCCTGGCTCATGGTTTCAGCCTGAGTCTTTCACTGTCCTTCCTGCCTCTGGATTCCTTCTTTTGTAAACAACATTGTGTAACTCAGATCAGATCCCTGTATTGATTTTTTTCTCCTATCCTAGGTATGTAAGGCTAAGGAATGTGCTCTTAAAAGCCTTTTCCAGGTGAAAAATTCTCCATGTTAACTCTTTAGGGGCAGTAAAGTTTCCTGAGCAGCTCAGGCCTCTTAGCCTAGATCTACTAGTGGTTCTCTTCTGACCTCGACAAATAATTGAAAAATAATTGTTGGTCTCAGTCAGTAAATCAACTGGATTTAAAAAAAAAAAAAATCCTATCATGCTACAAACATAAATAATTTTAGTATTGTATACAACAAAGGATCTGAGAACTTAAAGCTTCTCAGAAGTATTTATCCTAGACATCTAAGACTCCTTTTGTCTTTTGCCTCATTAAGCCTTGAAATCTAACTTATACATCTTTGCGTGCTATCAGCAATGAAATAAAAATTTCTATATTTTAAATAATTTTTCTTTCTCAGTTTCTACAGATAAAGTGATTTGAAGTAATGAATGATGCCATCAAAGCAGAAAAGAGAAACTGTGAAAACCCCCAGAAATGTGAAAGGAGGTTTCCTACAGGATAGCAGCATCTTCGGTTCAATTTATAAAAACCCAAATAAATAAAATGGACAGTATTGTTCAATTTTAGAAATTCCATTTCTTCTATGTTCTAAGCTGTATAATTGTCAGGTTTTTATGGTTTAGATTGTAAATGTGTTCTTCCCTTTGCTAATTATGTTTTTTTTTAAGTCTTTAAAGTCTTAAAATGTGAAGGATATTTATGAATGGTAAGGGAGACACTGTATACAAATGTATATTTGTAAAAGCTATTTTTATGATTAGCATGTTTTACTGTTGATCATATATAAAAGTCAGGTGATATTGCAATTATAAACTTCAAACTTATTTCCAACAATGTCATGTAAGAAAAGATACATTGTATGCTAGTTTTTATAATTTATTTTTAACTTATAGTTTAAAGTACTTCAGATCATAAGGATAAAATACTTGAAAAATTGTATTTCTGCCCTCAATAAGCACCATTTTTATTAATAAAGAATGCAGATATTTCAGATGTGATTCGATAGTTAAAGGATTGTTGGTTTGACCTATAATTAAATTGAGCATCCTCTGCTTGACTGAACTGAAATGATCCAGTTAATACCCAATATTTCAGTCTGGATAGGAGATCCCATGGACGGGTTTTAATGCCAATACAGATAAGAACTAGATTGGCAAGGAAGACTGTCTTGGCTTTGGATCCAAAAGTTCAAATTAGTGCATACGTCTCCTCATTCCATCTCCTATTACTAAGGACTCTCCATCCCTGGCACTGCAAGCATTTTCCAGATGCCCTTAGCTGCTGTCTTGTGCTGTGGAAATGGAAGAAACCATCTTCACAGACTAGGAGAATTAAGTGTATAATTTCTTAATAAATACTGCTTCTTTTAAAACAAAGTTGGTGTGTATCTTTCTTTGGGAGTGCATTTAGTTTTAATACTCAGTTTGAATTTTTAAGTCATTTGTAAAGTCACAAAATCAGTGCAATAATGAAAGCAGCATAACCTTATTAATATGCAGATTACATGTTCTATATGCCTACGTGTTTTACGGGATGACATATTCTGGGGCACATTAATTTGGTATGTAATAGAAAGTCAGAGGGCCCTCAACCCATGATGGAAGGCATAGTATGGTTTATATTTCTAGAAAGCACATTTTTAATTCAAATATAGAATTATGAGAAAGTATTACAGGATAGAAGGCAAAACTACTTGAATATAGGTTATTTATGCTCTGCCCAACTAAACTCTGTTACTAAATGATTGTCAGCTCATTAAAGAGCAGAGAGAAAACATGCAACCTCATCAAGAGCATTTTATAGGTTTAAGGCCACTTTTTTCAAAGAAATTGAGGATCTAAAATCACCTTTGTGTGTTTTGTCTTATTTTTCTATTTTAATTTCACTAAGGTGAGTAATCCTCTTTCTCTATGTCTTTTAATTGTAAACTAATGAAATCTTACACAATTTCATCTGACAAAGAATATCAAAAAAACAAATTTTGAAGAACAAAAGGATCTCTGTTATTAAAGAAAATAAGTACCTTGCATTTTCCTATTTAAAGTCTTTAACAAGTTGCCCACTACAACCTAGAGGCTGGATCAGGAATGTGTTTCCTTTTTAAGAAAATGTGAAAACCACAATGTAGTTAACCGGTTTTAACCATAATGAGTATTGGGGATTTTGTAATTGCTGTGTTTTAGTTCTGAAGCTGCAAAGAGCCTGTATATGCTTCTGTAATGGGCTTTCCTGGCAGCTCAGACAGTAAAGAATCTGCCTGCAATACAGGAGACCTGGGTTCAATCCCTGGGTTGGGAAGATCCCCTGGAGGAGGGCATAGCTACCCACTCCAGTATTCTTGCCTGGAGAATTCCATGGAGAGAGGAGCCTGGTGGGCTACAGTCCAGGGGGTCACAGAGAGTCGGACACGACTGAGCGACTAAGCACAGCACCCTTCTGTAGGAGAATAAAATTAACGGAGTGATTTCACAGTCTGCTGTCAAGTAGACGAGTTTGCCTGGCATAATCTGATGCTCCAGAAAAGAACTGCTGCAGGTACTGTCTACTAGGAAAATACACATGTGTATATTTTTCCAAATTTGCCATTTGTCTATCCTCATAGTAGTCAATGAACAGTGTAGCATCTATATAATTTATTATTATAAATTAAAAACAGTACACTTTCTCAGATATTCATTAACTGTTCCCAAAGTAAAATGAATAATTCAAATGTATCAAATAATTCTTTATGTTGGAGTTGATTTTCTCCACACAGGCTTTGAAATATAAAACCGTGGGTCTTTCTCTTTATTCACTACCCATTCCTGGTTTAAGAATTTCCTTTGATGACAAGGATGGAACAAAATATACACCAGATCAACAAAATATAGATTATTGGGGATTTATGATCCCTGAAGGTTTAGTTTAATAAGTAACAAGGAAGATTTTAAGAAATGAGGAGAGGAGTGTGGACTTCTAACTCAGATAACATCAGTCTCATGAAAGAAAGAGAAGTGGCATTTCTCAATGCATTCAATTCAAGAAAAAAACATGGGACAGCAGGTCCATAGCTTGGGAAGTTCAGTAAGCTGAGCACTAGTGATAATGAAAAGGGGAAATACCAATTTTGCATCCACCTGCTTCAACAAAAGAATAGTTTTCAAAGCAGAAATACACAAAAAATGATAGAAGTGACACAGAAGATAAGAAGAAACTATTTTAAATAGATTAAAGCTCGAAAACAAAAAAAATTAAGTTCGGAGAACAGGAATTACACATGCAAATGCCTGCAGAAGCCTGATAAGAAATACAAACGCACGAAGCAGGCCTGAAGGAAGTTGGTAGGCCTTCAAGGCAACTATGAAAATGAGGGGACCCAATGGCTGCCTACTTCAGAAATGCAGACCTGGATTCACCCGTTTTCCTGATTTTTCCAGAGAAGGCAGACACCCAGAGTTTGAAATGAGATTTCCTATTTTGTTTTGCTTTAATATGAATATGAATGAAACCATATCTAGGATTTAGTAGTTGTAAAACAAAGGAAAAAAGTTCTGCAGTGTGGGGGAAGGGCAGATTGAGAAAGTAGCTGGCGCATATACACCATCACGTGTAGAACAGGTCACCGGTGGGCCGCTCTGCATACCAGGGGCTCGGCCTGCTGCTCTATGACGACCGGGATGGGAGGGCTGGGAGGGGAGAGGAGGCTCAAGGGGGCGGGGACGTGTGTACATGATTATAACTGATCTGCACTGTCACAGGGCAGAAACCACGACAGCATTTTGAATCAATTATCTTCCAATTGAAAAATTTTTTAAAAATTTAAAAGGCTTACAGTAATGAGAACAAATTCAGGGCTATCTCTGTTAAGAAAAAGAAGGGAGAATAGAATAAGGGTATTCAATAGCATCTGTAAGATTTTTTAATTTATTAGGAAAAATATTTGAATCAAATGCTTTGAATCAAAGATAGATCAGGCACAGTGATAAAGAATCCGCCCACCAAAGGAGATGGAAGAGATGCAGGTTTGACCCCTGGGTCGGGAATATCTCCTGGATTAGAAATGGCAACCCACTCCGGTATTCCTGCCTGGAAAGCCCCATGGACAGAGGAGCCTGGCAGGCTACAGCCTATGAAGCTGTAAAGAGTCAGACACGACTGAGCAAACACGCACGTACACATTGGTGTTCATTTCACTTTCTCTATGCTTTTGCAGGCTTAAAATACTTTAGAATGATGAAAGTGTGTGATTTATTTCAAAACGTTTATATATAGGTACATGGAAATATACATATTGACAATATAGAGATGTGAGTGGTATAAATAACATGTAAAAGGTAGAAATTTAAGTCTTTGAATCAATCAGAAATCTGTAAGTTTGTGATCTACCTTTTCTAGAGATGTTCAGATTCCAAAGACTAAAACTTAAAGAAGGAGCGATGTGTTGCTGTAATGTTCTAAGCCGTTCTGGCAGAGGAGGAACTTATAAGTGAATTTCTTATTTGTTAATGAAAAGACTTGCTGTCAGCTTTGAGGTATTTAGAACCACTCTAGGGACTTAAACATGGTTCATGCAAGAGTTTGGGGTGCCCGAGCATGTAGCATAGCCTCTGTGTTTATCTGTTGCATCTCTGATAATAAGGACTATGTCTTCTCTATCTTTGCATCCTGTACAAATTATGCCTTTGACTTAACTAGCCATTTCTCCATAAATGTCTGTGGAATTAAATGAAAGAGGGTATGTTCTGAGTTTCTACCTTACCGTAAAAAAAGCGCCAAAGCTATGATTTGTTAAGCAACTACTATGTTCTGAGAACTATATTAATACCTCTGTATGCATTATCACGAATGCACAGAAAAACTGCAGGAGAGCTGTGGTTAGCTCCAGTTTCCAAGTAAAGAACACAGATCCTTTAATCGGTCAGTTTTTAATTGGGTACCAACTCTGTGCTAAGCGCTACTCCTAGCGGTAGGGTCTGGCTATAAACATCGAAGACTGAAAAGCCCTGTCCTTGAAAAGCTTACACGTTAAGGGAAGTGACACACGATAGGCCAATTAAGAAGCCAGTGTATAGTGCTGCAGGTAATCCTGATGATCAACAGAGACCGGAAAAGCTGGGAAGGAATGCAAACCCGGTGCGGTTCTACACGGGTGCTCCCGTAGGCTCGTCGGGGAAGGCTCCCTGCGGGGGCGTTTGGCAAGGACGCGGGGTCCGCCAGGGGCGAGCCAAGGGCCATTTCCTGCAAAGTATCCTGAGCGGGAGGCGCGGGACCCAAACCCCTGAAGCACGGATGTACTAGGCGTGTCAGGAAGAGCAAGGAGGGCGGTGCACCTGGGTTAGAATTAAACGTGGGACAGGAAAGTAGATGAGGCCAAAGAAAAGCCGAGGTTTCAGATCGCAGAGCCGTAAAAGCAATTCTGAGTTCACTGGATGCATTAGCTGCACTGGATGGGAAGATTTTGAGTGCAGGAACTGTATGATCCAACTTAAAAGAACCACTTGGGCTCCTAAGTCCAGAATAGACTCTAGAGAAGTAAAGAATCCGCAAGTCCCTAAACTCTAGGTTGATAAACAGCTCCATGAGTCTGGCCTGTGACTAGCCTGGTCTGCTCAGAGCAGAGCAGCCTGTTCATCTGTTCACCAAACCTGTGTTGGGCCCTTACTGTATCCCATATGTGTACTTGACGGTGGGCATGCAGGCGTGACACAGTCTCTTTGCTCAGGGCACCCAGTCTAGTGAATAAGAAAATACCAACATTATTACAACCTTCACCCCTGTCTTCTGAGGAGCAGGCATACCTTTCTGAATGGAGATCAAGCAAGTATCCCCTCATATCTTGATGGAAAGATTTGTGTTATCTGCTCCTTCCTAAATAACAACTTGTAAGAGAGAGAGAGAGTTCTATAACTGGCTTAGGTCAGTGGTTCTCAACCCTGTCTATACTTAAATTACTTGGGCAATCAAACAAACAAACAAAAAGCTAATTAAATTGGAATAATATTGTAAAATGGCTGAATAAAGATAGAAAAAAAGTTTAAAACAACATTGCAAATTAAAAAGTCCTTTCCTTTCCTATGCCAAAGTCCTGTTCCTTACAGCTCTGATGGAAGCAGACTGACATGCATTTTTTAACTTAACTTTGTTCAACCTGCTGAAACAGAGAAGCATAGGTGCTCCAAAGTATAAAGAGCAAAGCTTGGATTCACCACAAGTTTCTACCCTGATTCCTCAAATATTGAAGAAAACAAAGCTATTCCCCAGATACAATGGCACTCTCTTCCAAGTCAGTCACAGTGGTCACATGTCTGCATATCCATTAGCTCCTTCCTTTCCACAGCTATGGAGACACTTAAATACCCAGCACACAAAATGGCAGGCAGCTGAACAGCATAAAAAT